CGCGAGTCACTCGTAGCGGCGGGTGCAGAGCAACTTCAGTTCGACTCGATAGTATTTAACCATCCACACTGCGGAGAAGAAAACGTTCGACGTCATCAAAGCTTATTGTCACACTTCTATGCTTCAGCGCTCGAGGTTTTGCAAGACGACGAAGAGGACAATGAGAGCGGCATAAGATTGACATTGGCAGAAGGACAGCAAGAACGCTGGCAAGCGGTGGATCGGGGATTGAAAGCAGGATTACGACTATATCGACAGATTGATGACGTCGATAATGATGAGGTCTTTGGACTCGTGTATGAGCGCAAAAGACATCAGAATGCTAAATCGTTCCATCAAGTGACTATCCATGGTGAGAGGAAGAAACAAATGAGTACATTGTTTCTTTTTCGACGACAAGATAGTAAAAGTGCTGCTTCAGCTAAACTTGCGACTATACTACCAGAAATTGATCAAATTCCAATTATTTCTCGTAAACGCAAAGCTGAGAGTGAATTTCCACTGGAGTTTGCATGCACTGAGTGCGAGAGAAGTTTTAAGTGTGCCCAAGGATTACGAACGCACATTCATATGGTACATCATCTTCAAGGTGCAGCAATCGGAAAGGTTCTACTTTCATGCGAAATTTGTGGTCGCACTTTCAAAGAAGAAGATGCTAGAAGACAGCACCAGGTAGCCAAACACGGAAAGGATCGACTAATTCAACCCGATTGGTACAACAAGCAAAAGATTGCGACTCCAAGTGCAGCTAAAAAGGTTTTACCTTCTACCACGATAATCTCGTCATTGAATTGCACGATCTGCCACTTTTCCTTTAGCACAACAGAAGAATTGAGTGCGCATTGGCAAAAACTGCAGCCTCGAATTGCTGGGAAACGAAAGTGTGCAATATGCAGTCGAGAGTTTGATGAAGATCGAGCATTGCGTCAGCATCAAAATTTCTGCGGCTAGAATTCATTTTAACTTTTTTAATGTCGTGAATTGTAAATTGTTACCATGACAAAATAAATGCAGTAGTTACAAACATGAAAAGTGACTGGTTAAAATTCATACCATCACTAATCGACAGAATGAAGGCAGTCAAGTTGACCGCAGCGGTGGTCGTGCTGTTTATGGCGCCTTACGTGCCCATCACAAGCAGTAGAAGCCTTGCAGAGACACCAAACGATTCTATTGATCGTCATTTGCGTCATGAGAGTGCTCAGATTGATTCAAAATTGAAAGAAGTAGAAGGAAAACACGACTCTAATACTCCACTTCAACGTCGTGATCAAACACTTGTGGCTGCCCATCGCGTGTATGATCCGGTATCAGGACTTGCATGCTCGCTAGTGGGAGAGTGTATGTCATGTCCAATAACTGAGAAAGATGAGAGTTTTTGTCGAGAGACGGGATACCGTCAGGAATTGGCCTGCCCTCACTCAAAAGACGAAGCATTGCTTCAAACTTTAGAGGAAAAGCAAACGCCTCGATATCGGCCTTGTTCACCTGCTGATACAGTACGACCAGGCGTTACTTTTGTGAAATTTGAGGTATGCCTTAGCAGATTAGTAGCAATTGCGCCATTGTCACTAACATGTATCGATGTTTACATAGGCAATCATGTCCTTGCTTTTAGCTATATCGGTAACACTACTTCGACGTGAGCGAGAAAAACATATGAGCTCATTTGATCTGCGAAAAGATTCGCGGCAACGCGTAGGGCTGTTGAATAGCAGCGCTTCGGGCGTTAAAGACTCTGATTAACGGTGCACATGTTGATAAAGACTACTAATATTAGTCATTAACACAATCTTCATAATCTACCTTTAAAGTTTATGATCTTCACTTCCTCTTTCGAGAATCAGCTACAATTGCATTCTTCATCTCTTTTTTTCTCTTCTCGCGCTCGATTTGCTCTGCACGCTTTTTGAAAATACCTGAGAGCTTGGGTAGAATTGGCGGAGCGTCTACACGCTCCCCAAAGCACACTGGCGCTGTATTCTCAAAATAGTCCTTTTTCGTATTGCCTGTGGTCTGATAGTCACGCTCGTATCGCTCTTGCTCAGTCATCTTCTTCTCACGCGCCTTCATCTTCTTTTTAGCTAAATAAATCTTACGCTTTTCGTTACTACGTCGACTTTGCTTCGTTGCATCGTAAATTACACGTTTGACTTCCGTGCTGATGCGTTTATTAAAGTCACGCATGGACTCGCCTTCTCGGATCGAATCAATTTGCATATTATTCTTTCTCTTGAACACCACGCCGTCGCTATCGACAGCAGACGTGCGCATGACAAATTGCTCTACTGATTCATCGCTCAACATCTTGCGTCGACGTTTCGTAGAGTGCTTGGAATGGGTAGGTGGCAGATCATACGCTTTTTCCTTCTTACCATTGTTACGTTTTCCCTTAAAAAATGGATCACACTGCTTGAGCTTCCTTTTACCACTTATGCGGCCCATCGCAAGTTTTTTTCGAATTGGAGCAATTTGTAGCTTTTTTCGACCAGTAATTTGTATACTACTTTTTTTTCAAGATGATAAAATCCGCGTTTACTAATACAGATTCACTGACACCATCCGGGTGACAACTTTCAATTTGTAGCGAATACATACGACAAAGGGGTTACTATGTGCCTTGCTTGAGTTTGAGGAAAACATGTCTGCAACCCACAGAGGTTGGATTTGTACGAAACTCGAGAGAGAAGAAGATGAGTATTGTGGCTAACTACTTTCTTGCCATTTCGTTTCCAAAGTGGCACATGTTTGGTATTAAACTGACGAGAAATAATCCTTGCTATACTAAATGATAAACTACCTGCAAACGAGCGCTCCCACTTGAAGCAGAGCGGTTAAGAAATTGTACTTTCATGAGGACTGCACCATCGGTGCCGAATGCTGAAATTAGGGCCAAAGAGTATCGCACGCAATTTGCCCATAGGGAAACGAAGACACGTCACTCCACCCAGACAGGACAGCAAAATTGGTGCAGAAGCCTGACGCATGCATCATTTAATCCTTGGCTTCGCAAAGTACAACACAAGACGGAAAAGCTATAGTGTTACGTTTTTGATGCATCAACCGGAAGTTATTATAGAAACAAAGCTGGATAGGCATTAGAGAGCTGTTACAACTACGACCAAAGCTCGAATCTGAAACAAAACCTCCTCGCAAGCTGGAACTGAGCTGCGATGGTTTTCTCTAGAAGAGGCTTTGATCGGAGTGCGTCAGGCTGATAGTATCAACGGCAACAAAACATTCTTGCCGACGTGGAGCCTCAAATTCGCATGATTTATCCAGGTGAGAGTATTTCTTATACTTTACGAGATGCTAGCAACCGCTCTGATTTACCCGCCAGCCCGCACAATAGGTTCCTCATGGAAAGCTCTACATTTTGCATCGAGTAGCGCGAGCAGAGATAACCCTCCCGCAGAAAACTTTGGTGGGTACTTTTGGTTGCGGTGACACGTCATTCTTCTCTGTGTTTGATAGTGGCCGAAGCTAAGGCATGCAATGTTTTGATGCTCTCTATGATCCTCATATTTTTCAGTGGCTTGAGATATTCCGAGGACACATGGACTCAAAACCGTATTACACCAAAAACGCGCAAGTTGCTTGGCAACCCCATTGCATTTGGTATCAGCTGTCTTCACTTCCTCGGCCAAGTTGAAGTGTAATGTAATGTATCCACTGCAAGGATCGTAAAAGAGTTCTTAAACTATCTGAACAAGAATTCCAAGCGTCCAGCTATTGACTTCGGGTGGCAGACATTTGAAATTGCCAAAGATTTGGCCATACTCAGTCAAAGCAAACGAAACGTTGTGCTAGCGGTCACTCCACTCGAAGGCTGCATGCTCGAATGGGCACTCAAATGTGAATAAGGCATCTACAAAGACGAAAGGTCAGAAATTTATATGTCTTGGGTACGCGCTTCGCTTGATCAGGCATGCCGTGTCCACCTAAAAATTCTTGTCCACGCGCCAAACAAAGCGATAACAAGCAGACTGTATTCGAGAGTTGAGAGTTGAATCTACATGGGTGCGGATAAATTATCTCATCATGGAATATCTCCGTTCAGGTGCAACTCCCGCCGGGATCTCTGGCGTCCCTCAAATTTGATCTAAAGGTGCTATAAGTGTCGCATTTAATTTTGGACAAATTTCTCAAAGCGAGGTCAGCGGACAGAAGGAGAAAGCTCTACGAGCGCGGCAGGAGCGAAGGATAGCAGAAAAGCTTGGGAGAAAGCGATCAATCTCTGGCTGTTGAGCAAGCCCCGCTGTTCCACGAAGACGATATTATCAAACATCAACAACCTGCGTAATGCTTTCTCGGGTGTGAGATTTGCAAATAGACCTGGTATATTTACAAGCATCGTTTGATCACTTATAATCAAAGCTAGCGGACTGTACGTCGATGTATCAATAATATCAGATGAAAACACGATATCCGTGCAGTTTGCAAAATGTCAGCATTCAAATGATTAGATGGCCTCGGCAGCGTAGAACAATGTCTGGCACCAAACCTTGATTATAGATACGATTTCATCCTAGGTATTTTCTAGATAGAACTTCTTTAGCCTTCTATCGACTGATATTAATTATGTTAGGCGCTTTGTGTGAGGCATTGGTGAGTTATGTGTTTGTCTTTGCTTGGCAAAAGAAGCGCTTATTGGTGCAGCCACGGCGCTGCGATAGCTTTGATGAAGCGTAGATGACTGTCCGGGCTAATTAGCAACGATGTTGCTGAGTTTTTGGGCAGATCTCGGAAGGCAAAGGTGGCAGTAAGCCCGCATATTTAAAGTTATCGAGTGATCAGAGATGGTTTATAGCGGTCGCTGGAGTCTACACCTGATGACACTGCAGAGACCGCGGTACCATTTATGTTGTTGTACCTTGAGTGTGTCTTTAGAAAAGCGACTGATAAGAGCAAAAATCTGGTGTCTTATGTAAGAGAAGAGAAGAGAAGAGAATAGTGGTAAAAATTTTAATTTAAAACGAATTTGATTCACTTTTTCTATTAATTTTTTTTAATAAATTGGGAATGTTAAGCGTAAATTATGAACATTTATTAGAGACGAATTTAAAAATTCGTCTCTTCTCTTCTCTAAGAGCCGACGATGATTACGACCGATTGAGTAGCGGTAGTTTAGAGGAGACAAGTGATAGTAAGATGCAATTAGATGGCCCAAGCATTAAAGTTGTTAAGTAAGGTTCACAAAATCGGTAACGGTACTGCTGATCTTGCTGTACCACGTGACGCACTCACCGTGCGGGCTGGAAAACCCCCGATGTTTTGGCAAGCAGAATACTCCTTCATGAAAGGATCACCGGGAGAGTCCGAGTAGTGACAAATCTTCCTACATTCCCTCCAGTATGAAGTCTTATTGAGCATGAGAAACTATTCTAGGATATTTCTGGAAAAAGTACCAGAAAATGAAATCACCAGAATGGTACCTTTGACTGGTACCGAAGGAAGGAATGAGCTTATCGTGCATCATTAATGGGCTTATTTTTTCGTGAATCGCCGCGCCTTTAATGCCAAAAGTTGAATTGATTACTAATACGATTTTGACATAATATTTACTTTTTCTTGGATCACTTTCACGACGTGGTAGCAAGAGACCCACCATAAGGTCCTTTTCCCGGAATTTGATACTGCGTCACACGACAAATTTTCTAGCCACGTTGTGGTTTAAAGTAATACACACTTTCTTTCGTGTAAAGTTCAAAACGACTTTCATAAAATATTGTGAACTACCGCATTTCGCACCAACTTTTGTTTCAGAAAATCTAGTCCAGTCGCGAATTCTACATGCTTCTAATAAGCAGATTGCACGTTTGACTCCATTTCGATTACCTAGTTGATGGTTTTAACCAACTGCGCCAGGAAAATGTTTATTTCTACATCGAGCCGGACGTTCTTGGGATTGTTGATTCTGCCTCAGGGATTGTCTCTTGCACCATCATTGTTCAATATTCTGCTTCAATATCCGCATCTTGCAAATGCACAAGCCTGCTCCGACGTCTTGCTGTGCAGCGGACGAACTGTCGAGTGTGAATCAATTCATCAGACACTTGTGAGCTGTGCTCGAAGGTATGCACAACCGTGTATTGTTCGCCACTTTAGAGGCATGTGTCTTTGTTGTAGACAACACCTTTCTTCAGGCTGCTTTAACAAAACGTATAGGAAGCATTCTGCAAGGTGAAGGGCACCGAGTATTGGCTAGGGCTTCTTTTCGAAGGGCACATAAAATGGCTTGGTCTGGCCTATATCTTGCGCGAGTATACAGAATTTGACGCCGACATGGCACGGACCCTCATCGAGCTAGACCCTGGTTGTTTCAGTGGTTCCTTTGGCCAGCCTGCCGACTTCAAAGAGTGCTGGGAATCCCCACTAGTATGCAATCTTGTTTAGACGAATAAAAGATGCATCCAAAAATACCAGCATTAAAGTCGTTGTGAATCGTCGGAGCAACATTAATAATCTTGCGGTAATAATTGTGTTAAAATGAGGTTAGCGCTTTGCTCAGAATTGTTTGGCAGACTTTGCCCAAGGTGCTAGGTACCAGATATGACACGCTAATTGCTGAGGATCCGCAGAGAGATGGCTACTTAGTCAGACCTTCTCTCAATCGCGTAGTGAAGAAGATACACTGAAAGACAGTGCTGTAAGAACTGCGGTGCTGGAGCGACATGCGTCCATTCATAGAGGTACTTAGCTTTTGTTCGTCACAAAGTACGCAACCAAGCGAAAAAAACCATCCACAATTGTCAGCACCTCCTTTTCTAAACCGTTCGCATTGGTCTTATCATATCGGTAAGAACTAACGCCAATACGCGTGCTGTCTTGGACATCGATAGTGAAGGTGTGATATCACGGTCTGCTTTCCTTCATGCATTCACCGTAGACGTATTGATGATACGACCTAACAGTGAGCATACCGTTCATGACACGCTGCGCTTAGCCATACTGCTCTCACTTGGATGTCCCATGCGAGCGTAACATTGCTCCCATTGATTGTCGACCTTAGCAGACTCCACGAATAGTGCTTTTCCTTGCTTGTAGTTGAGAACTTAGGCCTTGCCGACCTTTATACCACTGCTATAGACAGCACTGGTAAGGCCCCAGACGACACATCAGGAATTCTGAAACCTAAAGCGTAGGCTGCGTTCTGCATAGAGCAATTGTCTGTCAAGCCCTGGAATGTACAGTGCATACAACATCTTAAAACGCCGACAATCATTCTCGGTCAGCTTAGCCGGTTCTTTACCACAGCCTCGCAATTTCCCGCCGTCCACAATAGTCATATCGATGTTAGAGGCCGACTCATCATATTCCAATAGGTTTCCCGATGCAGAGTCATGTGCGATGTCGCGCCGCTACCATTAACCATACGTCGAATCTTTTCACGCCGATAGAAAATACCGCATCATCCTCAGCAACGTCGGTTCCTTCCAACAGTCCTGCTTCATGTGACCAACTTTATTACACTCGAGGCACTTGCTCTTGAAACTATCCCGCGTTTCCCTGAGCCGTTCCCTTGTCGTCCGTTAACACGGCTGTTCCTGATTCGTTCACCATTACCGTGAACAAAAACAGCTTTTGCTGCTGCCCCCTTCTTTCGCAGCTGTTTTTTCTGCTTAACAACTCTACTTGACATTCTCCATAATGGACGCAATCAGCTCGTACTCTGTCGGAAGGTTGCTCAAAAGTATTAGAAGCTGCCGTGCCGGCCCTACAAGTGCCTGGAGACCGTTAACCACCTCATCAAAGGCACTTAATCGCTTGGACATTGTCAAACTACACCTCATTATTAAGTCATAAAGACCGCTCGTCATCCCGACACGATTGTTAAGCAGTGTGTTCCAAGCCTACTTAGCCGTCGTCGCAGGCCGTGTCTATGCCTAAGACGTTGATGCCCAATGATTTGATGAACATATGCCAAAACTTCGCATGTCAAACTCCCAGTGAAAGCAGTTTATCTGCCCAGGAGGATTTTGGCTCACTTGGACGTAGCTGTCGTGTAAAAGCGGAGCGGGCTAGGTCGTGGTCTTGTTGCGGCTGTCAACCTGTCGGTTGTTGGTAATACCCGAGGAGAAAATTTATAAGATCCTTAGTTACGTCGTTGTGCTACTTCCGCGCCTACGGAACGTAACCCAATTTATGAAGACCGATATTTACAAGCTTCGTTCTCCTACTTCCAAATCGTAGTAAATCTATTATGCATAGCACATGTGTCGTACTGTCAAAACTCAATCTAGCAATAAACCGTTTCTTTTTCATATGTGTTCACGATTTTCATGCTACGCGTTGTAAAATAGTATTTTTTAGAAGAGAATGCTTGTCATAAGAGCAATCAGGTGCAATTTGGCGACCTTGTATACGTATTTTCTCGATACTCTGCACTATTCGAATATTACATAGATGTTTGAGTCTCAATCCTGGGTATCAAAACACTCCGGATTGCCATGGAAACTAAATGATTGGATATTTAAATTACCTTGCTTTCTCAATATGTAATGACTCGGCCTATGCTCTGCTAAAAAAGAGGACGTGATATTGAACCCTCTCAGTAAGAGTGAGTATATAGCAAATTCAGTGACGAATCGTCTTGATCTTAAATGAAAACTGCCGAAACCAGTGCAGCTGCGTTGCCGTGTAGCATGCACGGAGTAAGACCCGACAAGTAAGAAAGTTAATAGAATAATTATAACTACATGCGAGTCCTGGCTGAGCGGTACTCCAGTGCCTCCTATCCGAGTGTTCGTAAATTGAAGGCATGAACGTCATAAGGCGTGTTTGCATTAAAATTTACATGTGTTTCCCGACAGAGATATTTCTCCCTGCTAATAACAACCCTGGTCTACTCGCCAAATCAGTATCCGTTCGGCGGTGGTGGCTCCTATAGCTGGCTCTCATGTGCACGCTCGGTTGCAGCGAGACATTCTCAATGAGTTGCTGTACGTTGCTGTTCCCATATTTGGATGCGCTCTCTAAAGCATGTCATCGACCTGAGTGATAGAAGGCATCTTCAGCGGTTTGAAAATGTATTGCGGCCTGAGCGTAGAGGAAATTTTTGTTCCATATGATTGTCAAGACACGTTTAATTGAGAGCGGGTTAGTAGGATGGCTTCAGCAAGCCCGCGTAGAACAGAGAATGCGCTTGAGTACTTGCTGGAATATTAAATAAGTAATCCAATCATTCTTGATTGGCAACTGTGAGCGGTAAGATGTAGTTAGGACGCAATTTGGACTTGTAGATCGCGGACCCTGCATGCATAAATATACACTTGAGCCCATCACCCACTTGTTTTGCCCTCCTCTGGTATTGGTAACTTGCTTTTGCACATCTTGACACCAGCGGTTAGGCCGTACACTGGCCGCATGATACTGGCAAAAATGTATATCTGCTACAAAGTGGAGCTAAGCTGATATCAGCAGATCGACAACCCCCTATCAAAACCGTAGTACCTAGTGGTGGTGTCCAAGGAAAAATACGGCGAAAACAAAACGTAAAGCCTGTACAAGCATTCACTGTACTATAAACACATGTCACTAAGCTTGCGGAGGTCAGGGCACTTTACAAAAATCAATGGAGAGAATGGATTAAATATCCCCGCTCTGACAATGGAGCCGAATACGTAAACATGAAGGTAACAGATATTTGTACTTGGCATGGTATTATGCGCCAGCGTACTGTATCGTTTTGTCCTCAGCAAAACGGAGTGGCGGAACGGTCGAATTGCACGAACATGGAATGGCTCGACGCATTATATACACTACAAAGGCATATCAACGATATGGTGGGCAAAAGCTGTAAGCACTGCAGTGTATCTGGTCATTCGTTCGGTAATTACAGAATTGTCGAGTATGACGCCATATGAGGTAGGCGTTAAGGAGAAGCCCTAAATGGAACACATGTTTGTGTTCTGGTCAAGATTGCGCTCACGTCGATGATGCAAATAGATAAGCTCGAATCCAATAATTTTAAGTGTGTATTTGTCAGGTACGCAGAGAACAAAAAGGCGTACCCTGTCTTCTACAAGGAAGCGTCCAAGGACAAGGTATCACGAGCAGTTAGGCTTGACAAGTGTGGGGTGAATGGTATATACGATACACCGTAGTCATGACACGAAACAGCCATCCATGTATCCAGAGAGAGAAGGATGCAGCAGCAGCTTCGATTCCGGTTGGCCAACGTCCGTTGCCAAATGAGACCATGATAGTCGTCGAGGAATTCGTTCACGATTTTAAGATGGATGAGGTAGAGTTGGAACTTGATACTTGTGTGCAAAAGCCTCTTGCACTAGAATATGGACCACTAGCTGGCCTTGAACTGGCAGATTACAATGCCCTGCAACCATTTCAGGAGGTTCGTTTGGTACTTCGTCCGGGCTTGTGATTGGGTGATGATCAAAGGTCGGAATGAAAGACACCACCTCGAAGCGTCCAAGAATCGACAAAAGTGGACGGACTACTGCTGAAACAGTGTAAGCGTATGCGGCGAGAATAGATGACACTCCTCACACCAAACAGTACATCGACAAAATCACAAGTGATGAGGCAGTGGCAAGGCGAGAGGCAATGGAAGCTGAACTGCGATCACACGAATAGAATGGTACTTTTGTCGCTTTGTACCGCGCTAACGAGTCATCCGATTGGGTGTCGGTGGGTTTTCGCCAAGAAGCGTGGTGGGACGGTCCGGTTAAACGCTAAAGGGCACGGTTGGTGGCCAGAGGGCCAACCAAAAGTATGGGTTGAATCTCTATGATATGTACTCTCTTGTGACGAATATGATCCCAATTTGTGTTGTTTTGGTGGTATGCGCCACAGACGCTTATGTGATGGAACAATGTGATAAAGATATAGCATTCCTGAATAGCGAACAAAAGTAATGCGTATTCACGGAGGTAACGTCCGGTATCAAGAACGCTAGATGTCACGTTTGTTTGCGGAAATAGGGCCATCTATGGGTTTAAACAAGCAACATTACCTAGGACAAAACGAACCACAGTGTCTATGTGAAGAATGGTTCCAAGGGTTGTGATGCAGACCAGTGCGTGTATGTGAAGAGCCCCAAAAACGGCTTTGTATACGTCTATCTGTATACGATATATCGCAACCAAGACCCGTGATGAAGTCCGTCAAATCTAAGGTGCGCTTAGGACGCTTTCAAGATGAAGGATCTTGATGAGGTATATTTTATGTTAGGGATGGAGATCGACTACGACAAGAGGAACGGAACGCTGATGATCAAGCAGCCACGATGCATCGATGATGTGACGGAGCAATTTGGTAGGCAGATTATCTCGGTGATTGCGCCAGTACTTCCAAACACAAACTGTCAAAAGATAAGTCGTCATGATCCGATAGCAGAAGCCACTGAGGTATAGTCACGACCGTATATACGTCTGATCGGTATATACCAGGCCTACGTGGTAACACAACTGTCAAGATTTCTCGAGAGCTCAGAACAACAACACTGACGAGCTGCAATTCTTGTGCTTCGTTACTGGAAGACAACAAGCCTGCATACAATCGAGTACGGAAGACAATATTGTGGTTGAAGCAATCATAGACGCGATTGGGGGAGCAAGATCGACTACAGGCGTTTTGTATCAGGTATGATGGTCAGGATCGGGAATGGTTCAGTATTGATCATTTCGAAGCTCTTTATAACAGTGGCGCTGAGCTCAGCAGAAGCAGAATACATGGAGCTGAGCTTATGCACCCAAGAGGTATTGTGGACGAATGGAATGTCAAAGGACACGGGAAGGGTCAGGAATACGATACTCAAATCTGGGAAGACAATCAAGGCACTGGCACCGGCAATGAACGCTGTTTATCATGTCAGAACCAAGCATGTGGGTATCAAGCATCACTTCACGGGAGAGAATGCTGAGTACAAGACGGTTAGAATAGACAACATTGACACGAAAAGCAAACTCGCGGAAGTGCATTCCAGGGCACTCGGGACCAAGACGCTCAAGTTTCTATGCGAAGAACATCAAGACTTATCCAGAGCTTAAGCGGACACATCATTAGTAGCGAGTCGAGTGTTATGATTACACAACTTAATGCATTTACGGGACAAGCGATAGCGTTACGAGGTTAACGATAATGCATACGGTGGGAGTCATGGTTACAGATATGATTACGGACGTCGCGACAGTTGTTTATCGGTCTGGAGAAGTCGGTTTGCATTCAGTATGCTTAGAGGTAAGACAGCATAGCGAACAAAAGACCTTCTGAATTTTCACTTCGGCTTTTACGAAAAAAGCAACAAAAAACCGTGTAATCAATCTTCGGATTTGAACCGCTCATCGAGATAGTGGAGCCACGACTAGGCTAGTCTTAGCTCGTTCTCTATACGAACAAATGTAAATGTCAAGCATGTAAGCTAGACATATAGTCGCAACATCATTTTCCAATAGTATTGAGAGCGGTGTCATCGCAACACATATTTACTCGATGTTAAGATTGTTCTGACCTGTCTTTCTTTCGATCTGATAACACAAACGGTACTAATAGAGTGATGCAATTGCATCCTTAATGATTTTTTGTATTCGGTTGAGCGCCACAACGCCGAACATTTGGCAGAAATGACAGCATAGCTCGAATTTTCCTTAAACTGACGTGCTAGGTAGCCATCACGAATCTTGATAATGGTCGATATATATAATAATATGAGCAAAGAACGGAAGTCACAATGACATGAAAAGCAGTCAACGAACTGTCAGATCTATTGCCACTCAAGATACCAGTTGAGACAATGACATTTTATCAACATCATTCGATTTGAAATTGTTCAATTGAATTTGCCAAACGTTCGAAACACTGAGTTCAACACCCATAATTAAAAAAAGATAGAACGACGTGTATTTGAGCTAGTGACTTCTGTCAACTACGGTACTAGATGCGAGATCTATCGGTTATCCAAATGGAGAACTCTAGGTTAAAAAGGCTTCAATGACAATGTCAAAAAGCTTTTTACAAAAGACGTTTCCTTACTGAGTCTGATTAGGAGAATTTTTACCTTCGTTGATGACGGAATTGATCCAGGCCAATGATGCTGACACACGAGAGGTGATGGCCGGCACACCTGCATGACCTCCATCTCCCCAGCCACTAGTAATGCCAATGAGAACATCATCCGAGTCTCCTTCATCATTCTCTATAATGAGTGGAGCACCACAGTCCCCGATGCCAAAGCCTTTGCCAGGAATACCTCCTGCACACAAGTCCGTGACGTCGACTCGATAGTTAGCAAAAAGATCTTTGCACTCTTGCCAACTCCAAATCTCAAGATCGACACCGCGCAACTCATCCGAGTACTCAACGTCGTCTTCGTTGGTTTTCTCGGCGTATGATCCCCATCCCATTATTTTCGCAGGCATTCCCCTTTTGATTTGCGAGTCATCCTGTAGAGGAAGGCTAACGGGTTTGGTCTTGCTTGGCACTTCCAGAGTAAAAATGGAGAGGTCGTAGGCAGCTTCGTCGGAGTTTAAGTCGAGCTTTGGGTGGGTCTCAACCTTGACGATCTTGATCCGCTCACCATCGTCAGTGTGGTTGACAAAGTGCGAGTTGACTGCGGCAAAATATGGTCCTAGCTCACCCTGGACGCCTGCACAGATCGACGAGGAGAGACAATGCAGAGGACTGATGAGAGCACAGACGCAGTGGTTGGATGACTCAAGGCTCGCGCGGACACCGACAACATACGGTTTTGACCCCATCGGAATGATATCACCTCCGATAATGAGCTGCCGCGAAGTGTGGTCAGCGTTAACGACAATACCGGCCAGGGTCATTGATGCAGTGGCAACTATAGCGGCAGCTTTCATTTTGTTCGAAAGGGTGTGAGTAGAAGAAGGAAAAATCAAAAGTGCTTTTTCACGTTAAACATGCTTCGAGTACACATCGTTTTTGTTATCAGAGAAGACGCCTTTCGGTTATCATCACTTCTTCTGGCATTGTGATGCGACAGGATAATTCTGAGATCGGATTGTCTAGTCGTAGGCTGGGAAGAACGCAAGCAATTCCGAGGCAGGTCGTGGCACGTGCGAAGACTAATTCTTCATTGCACTGTACATAGCAGTGTCTGCATGCAAAGCCTTAAGGCTGGTCATTGATTCTATCGAATGGACAAAAGTCTGGAGTGCAAACATTGAGTCACATACTTGGAAATGGAAGTCAACGAGTGAGATAAATGATTTGAGGTTCTTCTCTTTAAGTATCAAAGAGTTGAGATTGTCACATAGTGTGTCACTCTTGGTTCCTTTTCTTGAATTCAAGTTTTCCAGACGTAGAATTTATTGGCACAATCTCGTTTGTTTTGCTGTGAAATAGGCGAAAATGCGATGTGGACAAAATACCAGTTGACCTTACATACTATCAAGCTTGGGGTCAATACCTTGCTATCTACGCCTACATTACGTTCGACGCGTAGTTGCGAGTACATACAAACAGTAGAAACATTATTCTTTGGTAGTTGTGTATCAGGTCTCGAATTCCGTAAAGCAAAGCACATTGTATTATACCACAATCATAGTAAGTTTCTATGATACATCAAAGCTTGAACTCCCATCTTACTTTGTTCAAAATCAACAACTTTTGTTTCTATAGCCAATGAAGGTATCCGTCGACGCTTTGATAGAGAATTGATTACTGCCAGTTCAATTTTCTGTACAAGATCTTCAATGATTTTGTACTTTTTTTTGTAAAGGCAACTTATATTTGGATGAATACAAAGTTCTTGGCAATAATTCTTTTTTTATTTGTAAGGTAAACATTTGCATAGATATTGTATTCCCAAAATAATTCTAGTGTGTTCAAAAAGGGGCAGGAAATTGACAATCAGACTCCAACGAAGCTTCCAAAAATTAGAAGTTAAAATTCAAATTGAGCCGGTTGTACTACAACATGGCGCGTTTGAGTAGAAGAGAAGCATGAAGACATCGACTCAGTCTTTAACGTGAGCTTTTCTCATAAACGATTTTCAAAATTCTATCTTAGGTAATTGATGCATCGTAATCGTGACCTTGTGTACTGTATGCGATACTCCATTCAGTCATTTTCTCGCCAGCTGGAAGACTCGATCTCTAAATTTTATCATGTCGTAAGCTTTAGACATGTAGGTGAATGGTTGACGTAGCTCTAATCATCACAAGATAGCATCTTTAAGAGCTCTATAATCAATCCTAGTGCCTGGAATGATTCAAATGCGATAAATTGATCAATACTAAGTTCGTGAAAGTAGCTAATCATGTGATCGTGACCAAAACAAAACCTTTTTTCAAAAGCAGCATTTGAATTCTTTCCTTCTACCAGCCATCACATCTCCAAGCCATCAAATTTGTGCTCGACACGATGAAAATTATTACCGCGTCTGCTGCTATCTCAGCGGCCATTGCTAGCGTAATTGTCGACGCTGGTCACAATTCTCGAAATCTCATTCTCGGAGGTGATGTCGTACCAATTGGCACGAAGCGATACACCGCTATGATTTTTGATCCCAATGAAGAGCTTATCTGCTCTGGTGTTCTTATCTCCTCTTTACACTTGGTGACCACGGCATGGTGTGCGGGCTCTGACCGAAACGATAAAACTCTCACTACTGTAACGCTGGGTGCGCATTATCGCAACGATACTGGTGAGCACCATAACATCGTTAAGGTCCAGTATCATCCAGAATTTTCCAACGAAACTTTTTCACACGACTTTGCTCTATTGACTCTCGATAGTGCAAGTGCTATAACACCCATCAAGCTTCCTAAAAGTGACGATTCAGACATTACCTATGGTTTGGTGACAAAGGTCGTGGGTTGGGGAGAGACTTCCTTTCCCGACGGAGAGTTATCCGATGAACTACGAGGAGTCAACGTTTCCGTATGGACAAACGATGAGTGCGCACGTATTTTTCAAGATCTTGAGCAATCGTACGTGTGTGCCGGCGGTACTCCCGGCAAGGGCGCTTGCCATAATGATTATGGTTCTCCAATCATCAAAGAAAGTGCATTAGGAGAGTCAGAAGACATTGTCGTTGGTCTGCATTCGATTAGCATCAAATGCGGAGCTGCTGGGGAGCCCTCACTGTATTCTCGTATGTCAGCTGGTGTAGACTGGATTCGTAAAGAAATTGGCGTTTGAGGTACGTTCCATTCTGGAAGTGGTTATCAATTGGTAAAGTTCCAACAATAAAGCTACCTAATTCCTTGAAAGTATTTTTTTGATTTAAATAACATGCTTTTTATCTCTACTTGTTCGATCTGCTTGGTATGTTAGCTACAGTTGCATTTAATGTTTGAAAATCCGTATATGTCAGGTATGAAATCGTACTTCATCTCCAATCGCTCAATCAGTGCTACTGTTTCGAGAGCTGAATTTATTCTGGTCCTTCTAAAGTATATTTTAGATTCACACCATGATAACAGAGTATCCTAAGCAAACCGAATGGTCGAATGCCGCGCATATCAATTCAATTGACATTCACAGAAGCTTACGAACCGCATTCACTATGGCGAAGGTGTGCACCCTGCATATAAGATGGATACATTGTACCAAACTACAAGCCCCGTAAGCAACTTGTACATATCTGCTCAACTAAAAGTGTCATATCTACAATTAGTGCTAACGCATAAAGAACACTGTACTCTTCAAAAAAATCAAATAGAAACCTCTATACGGATGTATTCATGTCGTACAACCGTATAAGACTTCTGAATATCCAAAAAACGGAATCAGCTCGCCCTTAATTTTGAATTTGTGATCCAAAACAGTACGTAATATTGTTGGGTCTCGAGTGCCTTTTGAAAGTATGTCAAATTCGCCGAAATGGCTCCGGCTCCAGAATATTTACATCTTTTCCTCTCCTTTCTTCTCTTCTTGTTCGCACGGAACATGCTAAGCTTTTTGCATCGAGGTTGTCATGGAGTCTTTGGCGAAAGATTTAGCAACGGTTGTCATGCACATTGCACAGCCAAAGCTTTGACTCGAAGACTCCTGTATGGAACGCACAGAGATTACTTCCAAACACTCCACTCAGAAGCGAATTTGTGGGACTTTAAAGCATCGAAGTACTTAATATCCTCTATTTTTCAAGAGTGACATACGGTACGAGGAAATCTATCTTAACGATTACTACATCTATTCTTTTACTATGCTTCTTGATTCACCTGTCTCTATAGCTTGACTTGAGGGTAACGGTCTACATGCCTTATAAAATCATCCTTTGCCGAGTCCCATCGTCTTCATGAGGTCAGATACTTATAACCTTTGAAGACTCACTACTACACAAAAGTGTAATATGAGCTTCGTACTGATATCCAGAAGTACAAGATGTTCGATCATAAACACTTCATTTTGCGCCCCAAAAGAGATGCAGACGAGTATATCTTAGCCGGCAACACGTATAATCAATTAAGTTTTCGTTTATCCCGTGCTCTAATACCCGTGTCGTCGCCTAGCTTACGCGCATGTTAAATCACCAAAGATCATGTAGTCGCTCAACATTGTTAACAGGCGTCGTGTATATAGCATAGCGTAAGGTTCCTTGATACGACACTCATTGTCTTTGCGCTCGAATGCGACAAGTTGATGTGCAAATGCCTTGGCTCGCGCTTGGTCAAATAAGGCATTGTGAGCATCTCAAACACGACTCATCTGCATTTATACAGCAATGTTTAAGCAAAATATCTCGGGCTGGCAGTGTCCGTACCATGAGGCTCATTGTAGTCTCAAGTCGACGCTATTCGAATGGAATGAAACATGTGCCTAGAATAGGTCGTTAAGCAATGGCCATTACAAAACAATTTGGCGAAAGGAGACTGGAGACATTCAAGTGGAACACGGCGCTCGCATTCATATCAACCAGGCAGCCTGATGAAATTTACGACCTCACCTCTCCCTTTTGAATGTCACTTAGACAACATGGTGGAGCAAGTGACCCGTTTAACGTGCTGCTTCGTGACCACATCATGAGATCTGCTACAGGTTTGAAGCAAAACGTGGGCTTAAGTCGCGTTCTTTCTGGATCTTAGCATAACAAAGACATGCTTTTCGGGATGAAGAGACTAAAGGCAAAAATATTATGGAACTGGATGCGAATTTGAGCTTTACATACTATCAAGTTTGGGATCATAGATTTGTTCTCGATGACTACAATGTGTTCTACTCCTACTCACAAGTTGATTAAAGTAGCAGGAACAATATCAATTGGTACTTGTCCATTGTAAATCTCGATCTCCTGTATAGTAAAGCAAGCGTATTGCGCCGCAAGCGTAGAAGTTTCTGTTATTCAACAGAGCTTGTGATCATTGTCTTACTTTTATATAAAGACCAAAAAGCTTATGCAGTTTGTTCTACTTGCTAAAGCATCAAGCTATCTATGACACTTTAGTGCAGGTGTTGGTTCAAGCAGGACATTAAAAGTGAATACATTAAACTGTTAGATCGTGGTTCATCAATCCAATTACATCCAGTCTAAAAGCTACATGCATATGCTTGTAGTTGATGTTGCAACATCAACGTCAGCATCAACTGCTACTGCAACAACAACTACCACCATGCAATTGTCATCCTAGTGTCTAGCGTGTTTTTTAACACTCCCACTCATGCTTGATTTAGTATCAGATAAGGACTTGATACCACTGGAGGCACGTAGTTCAGTGAAACGAGTTGTCGCCAATGCCTTCGTCATCATGTCAGCAAGTTGATGGTTTGTCGAGATATATTTGATTTCAAATACACCGTTTGAGACGCGCTCACGGACAAATGGTGGCGAATATTAATATGCTTTGAACGTGCATTGTAACCGACATTGTGCGCCAAGGCACTGGATCCCTATTTATCCTTATAGATTACCGTTGGACTTGACTGTTTGTAACCAAGTTCTTTCATTAACGTTAGAGCACAAGCGACTTCCTGTGTGCATAGGCTTAAAGCCATGTATTCTGCTTCAGCTGAGCTAAATGCAACCGTCTTCTGATATTTTGCTTTAAAGACAACCGGTCCACCATCCGAAACACCAGATACTGATCGTCGATCATCTACATTGCTTCCCCAGTCTGCATCACTAAACGCAACCAGAGATTGTTCCGAAAGACCCCCACTGAAAGTCAATATGATAGATCGACTTGTATACAAATACCGCAGTATACGAATTGCAGCCTTCCAATGTGCCTGGCCAGCGCAAACCAGGAAACGACTGAGATGAGATACAGCATAGCATACATCTGGTCTAGTACCCAGTACAACGTATAGTAGACAACCCATCAATGAACGAAATAGTCGTTTCTCCATTGCTTCTCTCTCATCCGTTGTCTTTGGAGAGTCATCTCGACTAAACTTCATTCCACTATCACTTGGGTTCTGGGCTGGCTGTGCATTTGATTGATTGGAACGCTTAGCTACTTTCTAGATGTAGTGTCTTTGTGATATAGTTAGCGTCTTCTTCTTCATTACATGATTTATTTCCATTCCAAGGATCAACTTTGCTCGACCCAAATCTTTGATACGAAATCGTTGAGAGCTTTTTAATTTGATTTCATCCACTTCTTCAATGGTTCTGGCCACTATTAGCATACCATCAATGTATAGGCAGATATAAATCACAGACTCAGGTCAGTTTCGAACATAGATGCATGAATCAATCGCTGAAGGTCCCAGTGTTCATTAAAACGTCGTTGATGGTCTTGTTTCACACGTGAGCCGCTTGCTTGAGGTCGTAAAGGGAACGGTTCAATTTCCGTACTTCGCCTTTGTCGCATTATAATCCATCAGGCACTCTCGTGTATACCAACTTATCGAGTATTCCATAATGAAAAGCATAATCCGCATCAAATTGGAAAATCGATAGACCGTGGTAACAGCATACTAATAATACTATGCGGATGGAAATCAAGTTTGCTACTGGTGTGTAGGTTTCAAAGAAATTTATACCAAACCTTGGCTAAATCCCTGTGCAACGAGGCTCGCCTTGTATCAAAGGATCTCACCATGTTCGTTTCTTCTTTATCGCGAAAACCCACTTTGATCCAATAGTTTTCATACCAGACTTGAAATCCACATTATCCCATGTGTTGCTGCGAACTGATTAGTCAATCGCATTCTGAATAGCTTGCTCCCACTGATTTTTGCACTCTCCATTGGTTGCGTCGCTCAATGATGTCGGCACATCAGCCATGAATGCTACCATGCCATCATCGTCATTAATCCGTGAACTCTTTGATGGTCGCACATCCATATGATCAGAGCCATCATGCTGACGGTCTCCCTCCACTGGCTCATCAACACCAATGCGTCTTTCTGGAGTGGCATTGGACTCAAT